GCAACTTAGACATTCTTCATCCTGGCGTTACCACTTCGGCCCCAGATGCGGTTACGATCGAGGTTGGAAAATTCTTCCGTCAAGTACCGTTTTGACGAAAGATATTCCGAATTCCAGTGGAATCAGGAGACAACCAAGTAGTTTTTAGGCAAGTGTGAATTCCGGTTTCAACTTTTATTCGTCTACGGTTCACGGAAAGATGAACAGACCTTATGTTGCGTAATTCAGCATGGGACTAGCCCAACATGTGTCCGAAGCTGACAGTTTATGGTCTGCCTTTTCTGAGCACCACTTTGTGATATTTTGCAAACTTTTGTGGGTTTCTGTCACTAGTAGTTAACCATCTTAGTAGACGTAATTGCTTGTTTGAGGATAAATTTCGGCGGGTAGCAATAGGACTTCCGACGAGACAGTCTCGGGAAACGAGGCAGAGGTTCAGAACAAGTGACGCTGCTGTAATATCACGATACCTCACTGATCGGTTAAAAATATTTCTCGAGTGTTTAGACAATTTTTAACGAACTGATTGACTGGTACTGGATCACGGGAATTACCGCCGGGTAATATTCTTACTGCCAAAGTATGCCAAAAGACCCCTTTTCACCCTAGCGGTTCCTCTTAGCGAAGTGGAATGCATCTGCTGGGAAATTGCTGGGGTTTTTTCAAAGACCAGTGTTCTAGTATAATAGCCCCAAAGCAGATTTCATTTCAGAACGGGGTATCGGTGATCTCTTTTTCTGGACCACTGTTAGTATGAAAAGAAAGCATCAATTCAAATGACACCAAAAGCTGATAGTGTGCGAAAAACTACCCCTTTCAGTTTGAGGCCGTAGCCCACTTCCCAGTGCATGGAAATATTACAACAGAATGAAATCAGTCGGTCCTAAAAGCGGAAGGAGATAAACAGTGAGAGTAGACGGCTAATTTCCAGTTTTTGTCTTCGCATCTGAACGTATCCAGGACCTTGTTTGCTGACAAGAAATCTAACGACAATGATGTTCGCTGTTTCTGGAGCTTAAGGTTTGCGTTTCAAATCTTCCGAAGGTTGTACTTACTTTTGAAACACTCAGAGAAAAGCCTTTTAAATGCAAACGCTGGAAAGCTATTGATTCAAATTGGTGGCCCTGATTGCTCCCTGCGTTTTCAATTCGAGTTCAGTAAAATGGGTAGTGGTTTGTATCCACCTGCTTATTTCGAAAATCCACCTCAATCTGGATTCTATTGCTTTTAAGCAAATAGTGAAGATTATGGAGGTCGTCACAAATTGACTCTGGGCGACCATCAACAGGGGAGGCTCATGCATAACCAGTTAGATGGAACGGAATACTTTGGTGCAGTAGTCACTTGTTGAACGTTAGGACCACTACCAGCAAGCAGGATGTACAAAAAGCCACTGAGGTTCTAAGATCACCAACAAGTTTAGCTTGTGTTCATACGAAGAATACGCAGTTTCCTGGAGCAAACTGCTCACATGGTTGCTGAAAACCTTTTGAATGTCTACGACTGGTTTCGCTCTTGTTGGAGCTATTAACGTAAGCGTAGTCTTAAAGGATTCGTTAACCCTGTGTTCGAAATGAATACAAGTTGCGCAAACTCATCACGTACGCTCATTTGTGCGTCAGCATGGTTTTAACGGGTGCCTTAACTAAATTCCGGTTGACCGTCTCATCAAATGAATGTGCTGTACAAAGGCCACTTCACGTGCAAGTTGGTATGGTATTCGAGATATTGCAGTATATTTTCTTGGATTCAGTGACGAAGATTCGTAATATCTTGTGCAGATGACAAAATTGACAACTGTTAGATTTGTTCCTTTAAATATCCAAAAAGCTGCATAAATCAGTAACGACGGTCCTTGATGATCGTGTTGGTGGTCACTGAACAAGCCATTTGCATCCAGGTTCACAGGACCCTATTTCGAACGGGATTGTCAATACGTGGATTATAGATTCACGAGAATTTCCGGGCTCATCACTTCGTCGCAAAGAATTAACCAAATTTATGGATAAAAAACCTTTTTATACAATGGAAGAGGGAGTTCAAAGGAATGTTTTTTTTCAAGCGGACCAAATTCTCCAAGCTGAGGTAATATTAAGCTATGAGGCTGTGTGAACTTTGGCCGAGCTTGGAATGTTGGGAACATAATATCTGAAAAGCCTTGTTTTCAAACCGCTATTCGACGTCTATCGAAATATTTTTGTCAAATGCCGTGTATGAAGCATTTCGGGGAAGTATTAATCAGGACAGAACCATGAGATGACCAACTCGCCCACTTTTTCGCATTTCCCAGAAACATCATACCAATTATCAGCTTCACGTCTAAGTAACCAAGTCGCTTAGTCGCCAGCCTATCTCATCGCACATGGAATGTGCACATGATGGGTGTGGAAGTGAGGATTACATAAAAGCGAGACAGCCACCCTCTTATCGGCAGTTGCTCGTTCTAATGCCAATGCGTTTTTTTCCGCCCTCATATTTAGTCCTTTCGCAGGAATTTTGACCCCCCCCCCCCATAGAGAGCTATTTAATTCTGATCTGAAACATTCCTACAGCACCCACACTGGTATAGGAAACTGGAACCGGTTTACTTACACCACCCCCATAACAACAAGCTGACATATCGCTGTGGCACTCCACTTGTGTGTGCACAAGGTACTGTATATCCCTCTCCTTACTGGCAGATCAGGGACAATTTGAACTTGGTGGTTTCAAGTGGGTGAGCATGAAAATGACCCACATAGTTGGTGGATGGAAGAGTATTTCATGCGGTTTTACCTACCAATAAATAAACTAGGAATAAGGGCGCAGGGGATGACCAGGATTATGTGTGTCGGAGTTTTAGCCATGAAGCACCAGTTGATCATAACGAATGTTGAAGCTGCGCAGGTCGTTGCTATTCCACGTCACGGTGACTGAGTTACCGTCGTTAAGAGAATGGACTTTATGGTGGTAAGCTGAGCTACACTGCAGGGCGACTTGTTTCGACACACACACACACACAGTTTCGCACATCAGCTTCGCCAATCTACTGAGGTTTCCCGAACACACTTGATGTTTTCCAGTACACAACTCCGCTACTGAGGCCTTTCTCCTTCCACCAGTACAGTTCGTCTTTAGAAAAGGTATGCTGGCTGCAGAGTGTGTGTGTGTGTGTGACCAATCAGGAAACATTTTCTCTCAGCTAATAAACATTCACCATGCGAAGCTAAGATAAGTATTTTAATGATGATGATAATAATAATAATACAGTGAAATGTAAGGGCAACAGCCATTCTATAATAGCCTAAGGTTGTTGACATACTAACTGGTTCGAAGTGTGTGCTTCTGGTTTGTTCCGCAACTTACCAGTTTGAACAGAAGAGTAATTATTCCCTGGCATCCTAATCCTCAACCGAGCGTGTGTCGACTTCAGACGCTACCGCTCATTGTTTTTACTGGGTTCAATCGCTGGGGTTTACAACATCTAACTCTGCTCATCACGTGAAACGGTAACGACTGACCGTTTCGAATGCCTCATTACCAGAACTAAGTCAGCGTGCATCAATTAGGTCGGAATTGCTGCATTTGAGAGTTGTCTGCCGGGTACTTTTATGTATGCTGTGTTCTTGTGGTTCATAACGTGTCCAACGCACCAACGAGTCGCCTCAGTATTTCAACAAAGAATGCTGTTTTCCTTCGACTTTGTCTGATTCTAAAGATCTGCTTAAGTATGAAGGCACTATTGGCATCTACTCAAGTTTTTTGCCAACTGAATGAAATGAGCATCCGGCTTCAAACGTGAGGTAGAACGGCCTGAAAACCTGCACCCTCCAGGCCTTTTTTAAACACAGAATTCCGAAAGGGCTTCCTCCGACGCGAACTCATCATTTGGTGGCATCAGATCAAAGATGGTCATTCAGAAAATGTAACTTCTTGCAAATTTACAGATCGAACGGAACTTCGACAGCTTGATTTTATGGGCTATATTCTGCCTAAATGCGGGTTAATCACTCTACTGAACAGCCACTTGTAGCCGAACGGTTTAGTTTTCACGCTTGTATCTCGGGAGTTTGAGAATCTCTGGTGTCTCGTGAGGTGCGCATTGCTGATGATTCCCAGGAAGGATGAAACAGCGGTACAGTGTCTACCGGCTTTTCAGCATAGTTTGCCCTCATTGACAGGACGAAATCTCAGCTGAAGACGCCCAAACCTCCTCACATTATCAATGCCTCAAATGGATAAGCTCAATCGAATGAAGGAGGGACCGCCTGTTTATTATCATTATCAAAACCTGCCAATGCTGCCGCTAAATTAAGGCAGTCATATCCACTGGAAACTGCTTCAAACGGTATGGGGAAGTGGGACTGATACCTGTTGGTAATGAGAGAAGATCTTGTACTTTTCAGTTGACATTTAGTCCTGTCATTGAGGTAAAACTCTGTTGAGAAGCCAACAAGCACTGTACCACTGTTTCATCCTCGTTGGGGATGATCAACATTGCGCAACTCACGAAATTCAAAGGAGTCCAAAACAAGTGACCTATGGCTGGTAGTTTGAACACTTAAACGTTCCCCTGTGAGAGGCTGACCAACACTGTGATTAACTTGCAATTAGACGGGCTATGGCGCCATTCATCTTCCAGTTACGGAAACGACGTCACGTAGTCACGTATTGACTAACCGCTCAACTGGTGACTTCTCAAAAGCAAGTTTCCCTCATCTTGTGAAATTAGCCTCTGCCTGAACTACTTACAGATTGAGGGTAGCGTGAGATTTGATGGTTTAACTTTCAATTTTGATGAAACATCCTGAAGTTTCCTGAGATGCACAACTTTGATGATTTTTAATTAGGATCAAACAGCTGTGCTTCCCGGCTTTACAGCATAGATCGGTTTTTCTCACAGGATGAAATGTCACTTGTCACTTGACGGTTATTTCAGCAGTGTGGAGCACCCACTTTGTTTGCCCTGATTACTTGTTGCTGCACAGAGCGACTCTCCTTTTCCGCCTTCAACTTCTCAGCTAAACAAGGAGGGGTGAGACCTGTTGCGGTAAGATTATCGACGGTGCAAAACAGTTCGAAGATCATCCTTCACGGACACGCATTTAACAACAAAAAGTTAGCTGTGAGGGGGAGTCGTGATGCGACGAATTCTGTTGCTCATATAACCTGTCTATAAATTTTGAATGAATTCAACTGTCCTTACCATGTATCTCAAACGCTAGGGAACACGCATGTTGAGTGGCAGCATTTCGAATTGCGATTGTGAGTATGTTACTAACGTTTTGATAGTAGTGAGAGAAATGTTCACCTTTTGACTTGTTTCGCCTCACCAGAGTGCTCATTTCTGGACATTGTCTTGACGACATAGGTGGAACCAAAAACATATTGGTTGCGCACATCGCTGCTAGTAGGCTACTCTACAAAGGCTGCTACGGGAAAAGTTTTAGTCGAATCCGAGGGGACCGGCAAACCAATACATCGCTCAAGCGTGAACACGTTTGCATGCTACTGACGGGAGAATTCCAGTGCGTCCGGCATGCACTGGTAGAGCAGTGGCGACATGCTCGCCCCGCATGTCAGATGTCCGGAGTCCAAACCCCCGCACGGTCAAGATTGTACACTGTTGATGAGCTCGAATAAGAACGAAAATCAAGCGCAGTGCTTCACTGCTTCGGTGTGGACTCACCAAAATAATAACGAAGGAAAGTAATATGGATGTGAATTCTACGAATTCCACAGTCACCTACGAAAACTTCAGGTATGACTAGGTTTCAGAGGAACATATAATAAGTGTGGCCGGCAAGCACAGCCATAGTTGGCACTTCATTGGAATGGCTATGGGTAATCATCGCCCACCTGATGAGCTCCAAGAAGGGCGAAACAGGTCAAGGGCTGTCGAAGCGTTTTCAGTAACCTTGTGAGTAGTCCCCCCCAAGAAAATCATTGCATAGTTTACTTGAAGTCCAGGGGGTCTTCATTTTTGTGCTCATTTCGATGGTGATCTTTTTATAGAATATTTTGTGTGTGAACCGGCAGGGATTTTCCAACTAAGACTTTCAAAACTATGACTCGCAGAAAGAATTATCGAACGGCATTCACAGGACTAAGTTAATTTGATCATTTTCAACGAATCTGAAGTATGTGCTAGATTTTTGACATGACACTACTTATGAGTCTGCTGGAGACTATTCGACAGTTCATTACCAGCTTCACTCTAATTAGGGCTCACAATGTTAATATAATTCTTGAAGTTATCACCAACCCTATTTTCTAGTTGAACACCAAATTGGGTGCACGTGGTGAAACGCACTCACCTGTAAAACAGATTCAGCTTAAATTCATCTGGGGTCCCTGTTACGATCAGTTTCGTTTGCCAATTAGTGCACTTTGCCACAGTGGTCCAGACGATTCCCGCTGTATTATTGGAAGCTGTAAATTCTGATGTGAGTATCGAGATTCAGACCCATCTCACTTGCTAACACCAGTCATCTCACCTTCACAGATATGGTATACAGAGAAGATGGAATAAGGCCATACGCGAACACGGCTGCCACCTACCCACTGCTCACCAAGTTCTAGACAACTGAGCATTTGAGAACTCTGGGCCATATCTTCTCCACCCGAGCTCCTTTACATGAAAGATAAATTATTGAATGGGTTATGCTGTCGGGACCCTTGTGACACTAAATTTAAGGTTATCCATCCAAGGAGATAAAAAGTAGCTGCTTTTTGCCCATTCATCGAGGCAGTGTACTGGCACATGCACTGTTACGAACAGGGTTGCTGAAGTTGCGTTCGGCTGAGTGAATTTTACGAAATTCTAGAGAGACACAACAAGTTGCGTTGTTAAAGTAATTTAATGAAATTCATCTATTCAGCTTCTGCCTCTCTCCATTGTGCTCGGGCTACGGAGGGAATAAAACAGCATATTTTCACGGGAGTACTAACAGTGGGAGAATAAAAAGAAGGACAAGACCAAACGCTTGTGGCGGTAGCTATTTAGATAGTTCCGTAAAGTTGGCTTATCGGGTTGTCAGCTCTACCCATCTCAAAACGCACTAGCTAGCTTCGAGCAGATCGTTTTGAGCACAAAGTGAATTCATTAGAATTCACACGTAATGGTTCTAAAAAACTGTACGGTTTTCATTATGAGTACCGTTACACCAAGATCAAGGTTCGTCACATGTGTAAGATGGTGATAAGTGAAAATGCAAGCCATAGTACCAATCAGCTTACTTGGATGACGTAAGAAGTCTTTAAATAACCATATCAAATTCCGTAGCCGAGTCCTGTCAAGTGAATGGATCGATTTCTTACCGGGGAAGTTAACTTAAAGCATTCCTACACGTTTTTCATACACCCTCATTTTGACAAACCTTTAACTGACCCCCTTCTGGTGTGCTTCCTGTTCATCACGAAAAGCGAGTTTTGAAGGAAATTTGACCCGATCCAATGAAGTAAATGAACGGGAGATTCACAAAATGCCACTAGTCATTTTATGAGAATCATAAAAAAGATGCGAGACTTGGACGATCACAAGTTGTGTAGAAAGTCCAAGCAAACTGGATCTCACAGAGGTTTGCGTGGGCGATAGCAGCTGGTTGTATTCAGTTCGTTCTGATTCTTTTACGTGAAGTCATCGCAGAGTTAGCTTGAATATATTGCTATTTTTTGGGTACTCTCAGAAACATAAGTCAGTTCACAGATTGTTTCGGCGTAGTCACTGGAAACAGACACGTCCGAGTTCAACACCCACAGCCTCGCGCCCGGAAATCTTCGGATTGGGTAGGATCACATCGCGAATCGGTAGTCTTTGTGCACGAGTGTGGACTTCGAAGGTGGATTTTCCGTTAGGTGAAGCATACTATATTGATGCGTTTGAAAAGAGAATGGGAACAAAGGCATACATCAATAATAATAGAAGATACCAGAGGGCTAAGCTCTTGGGAGTTGGAATAAAGGTAACTCTTTCAAAATTCCAGTCAAATTGAGGCAAGACAGAAGTTGTGCAGAACAACTGTCACATTCACGGACTCATCAGATTCTGGGTATTTAAACTTTATTATTTATTATTTTCTCTAACACTTGCCGATCCTCAAGGGAATCCGAACTGAAAGGTTGTCAACAGATAACAAGAAGCACCCCGAATTACGTGAACGTTTAAGTTCTTCAAATTGAAAGATGGAGTTGGCCCAAGGTCGGTCACTTCTATCTTTTAATTTCCTACTTGTTTTCCTAAATTATCTTTAGATCCTATAATAGACTTGTCACCGCTGAAGCTTGCTGAGATCAGTTCAGGCATACACACTCACCAAACTCAGCTTTCTTCATAAAAACAGGTATGATTCAAGGTACAACCATGGGAGGAAATATGTACGCACGTACCTGGCATCCATTGTCAAGTTTCTCATAACGGAGCAAGGGCCCGTCTTCAGTGAATTCCCGGTCATTATCAGAGAAAAATCGTACTGAGTGAACACCTTCCGAGAAACTGAGTTCCGAGCAAACAAGAGTGATCTGCTGTGAAGCCTTTGCATTGAGCATCTTCAAAAAATTCAACTGGTCTTGAGAGATTTCGTAGTCAAACTGTGGAGGAAAGTTAAGATCCAGACACTTAGATTTGGATCAGGCAAAGTCGATTGGCCATAAATATAATGTGGTTAAGAGATAACTAAGACTGTAAAGGGAATTGCATCGAATTTACGATTCCAATAACTATAGAACTCAGGAACTGGGAAGTTGCATAGTGTTGCAAGTATGGTGTCGTTCACCGGTAGGAATGTGTTTCCAACCGCTTCGGAGCACAGCAAAGCTAACGCTTTTGCGCCTGTGTTTTCAAAGGTAATAGATAACATGGCAATCGGAACCTGTTCGTTTGAGCGCGGCAAACAAGGGGGTAAGGCACCCCAGAAGAATGGATGGACAGACATCTCAAGTTACCCCGGAAGTAGATCGATTATGACATCAGCCAATGGTATGAACTCATAAACTAGGTTTATATTAGTTTTATGTCGTTACTCTCTGTATGGAAAACGACCAGCTGTACAAAATAGCTGAATCGTCAATTTTGATTAATACAGGGAGCGAAAGCCCGCCAATATTAAGCGACTTCGAAAGATGGACTCGAACTCGTAAGTGGCTGGGTTCTTGAATAGCTATCAATCCCAGACAGTAGCGTAGACAGGTTTTAAATGAGCTTAGCCTAGGCACCCTGTGGGAATTAGCTACTGTAGATAGGTTTTTGTAATATCTCATGGTATCTGCTTTTGCGCTATATCACTTATGACGCGCTGTATGACAGTGACCACTTCTAGGCGGGAACAAACAACAGCAGTCAGCCAGAACTGGGTTTAGTTTATTTAGTTTTATTGTGAACTGAGGCGAACATTTTTTGATAGTATGGAGAAATTTTGAAATTCCATCCGATATTTCATCTCGCAAGTAAAATCGACCTGTGCATAAAAGCCGGAATGCACGGTACACCCACTGTTTCATCCTTTTTGGGTTCGAAACCAATTAATATGAGTGGATATTCGAACGCAAAATTTCCCTGTTACTATTGAAAGGCTACATCAGCCGGCCGCGGACGACTGAACAACAATGCTACTAACTCGGGCATAGATAAGACATGGCGTCACTCATCCTTCAGTCACGCGATTCATATCGTGTGGTCACGTGCTGATTGGCTACTTGAACGATGACTTTTCAGGTCGAAGTATCACGCGACTTATGGGAGTGATTCATCCTCTCTAAGCTATGTGGTTTGTCGATAGTATGAGACTTTTGAATTTCAAATATTGACATTAAATGACCGCCTACAGAAGGAAATCTCGATTAAAGATCAAAACTGGCCCAACAACAGGACTGATCAAAGCCCAAAATCTACGTCAAGAAGTTGCTTTCCATTTCTTCTTCCTAAAATATGAATTTTATACTACTGCGTATCAACCCTGATAAATATTAGGCTCAACGGACACCTTGGTTCGTGGAAGCTTCTGTCTCATGAGCTAAGTATGTCGTGTGATAATTGGAGTATATAACTTATATACAGCAGTGAACCGGAATATTTTCATACGTACCCTTGATTGTCCAGTTATTTGCGAAAACCAGATAACATCACCAACTTCTGCTGAACTCATGGACGTTTGGGGATAGGATGCTGTTTTTGGTTGAAGACACGTTTCACCAGTCCGCAAGCGGCAGAATACTTCAACGGCATCATTAGCTATGCCACCGTTTGGATCGATCCAGTAAAATCCTGTTGTGATTGTGGCACAAGAGAAAATACACGAATTTCTTCATCGTATCATCGCAACAAGCGAAATCTCGCTTGTTGCAGGCAACGAACAGCAAGTTAGGGACAACACTTCTGTAGCAAATACTTTTACATACAACTATCGTGCTGCTGTTAAGGTGGTACCAATTTTTTCGAGATGTATTCAATGCAGAGTAAATAAACAAGCGACCAGACATCAACTGTACCTCCTCCGATAGTATTAATCCGACCTGACTGGAATTAGTTTGTAGAGTCTTTTTTCAGCGTGCACTTTAGTGAAGCAACCTGGTAACTATTTCCATCACCTAAAATACATCAGTAGATTTGACGATCTGAACCCAAGTTCATCAAAGTTCCGCAGTCTTTCGTTCGTGGTCCACGACCCACCTATTAACGTGATGTCCTTTTTATATCAGTATTATGATACTGTATTATTGTTAGAATTGCGCGAAAGTGAAACTTGGCTTGTGTTAGCTACCATTCCATCCGCTGTGGTGGTTTGTGCTAGCGGTCGCAACAGATGTCTGGTGCTCATGTCAATCGCTCAGTCGACCGACGAAGATGAGGGAAGTCATTTGACAACCACGTGTTGAGGATATGATCGACTACATGGTCGCACACTTTGGTGTGAACAGGCATCAGATGGGCATAAATGTGGAAATGATTGTATACTTTTTATCAGCCGAATGATAGAGAACTTCATTCGACCCTACACTGCCATAAGTCCACATCGGTGATAAAAGGCTTTCACAAAGAGAAAGCGCAACCTTTGTGTGGGCCAAGCTTCTGAATGTCTTTCGGAACCAATGAATGGCATAACAATGGAGAAGAAATCCTCAGCTACTATGTAATTAAGCACGAAGTAGATGGGATATCCTCATGTTCACCCTTTTCTCATGTTTTTTCTATAAAAATGTGAGTTGAAGAAGGTGTCAACATAAAATTTTGCCCAAAACAATTCCGCTAAAGTTTGATTGCTGGTAGGCCTGTGAAGGTGACAGATAAATTCACTGGGTCACTTATTCTTTTCCTGTGAGGAACTTTGGTGATTGACGAGATATTCACCTAGTCTTGGCCATTTGAAAAAATTGCATAGGTAGCTACACACGCTGTGGTGATGAGGCTCACCATAGTGTTAGCAGAATGTACATAAAACCTAATTTTGAGGATCGTTTCTATTTAAAGAGGGCAAATTACATTTCTGAAGCGAGGGCAATGACGAACTCCACAAAAAGCGTTTTTGCAGACAATCATGGTCAACAGTATATTTATCATATATAGAAGACGCATTACTGACCGAGTAAACAATGAAGTGGCCTTTGTACAACACATTCAGTCGAGAGGCTCAGTTAGGATTCGCATGAGTTTCTCGTCAATATCAGATTAACTTGCAAACGAATCTGTTTTGCCGATTGTGAACAGACGCTGTTCAGGTAGAACATAGAGTTGACGGAAACTCGCGGACTATGCCAACTTGATTGATGGACACGAAGAAGGGTAAAACCAGTGGTGAGATGTCAGAGAGGTATGTTCCTCCAAGAATTAGCAATCTTCTGTCAGGTCGAATACGGAATACTGGGAAGTCAATCATGGACCCATTGAAGAACATACCTATGAGTCAGTGAGATTTGTTGCCTAAAAGTCTTTAGAAAACTCCTGATCTCAAGGTCAACAGTTCAGTAATATTTGCCATTAACGGCACAAAGCTACTTTCTGGGCTTTCCTGAGTCGATCGCATCTTTGCAACCCACCACTCACCAAACACCGTAAAGATGAGTTTGATACCTCCGAAATTAAAGCAACAGGCCTGGCCGATATGACCCCAATGCTATCTCAATTACGAGATGACCTGGAATAAGGCTGGATGAGTCCAGGAGCTCGTGTATTACTCGCGTGAAGATAACACTTTGTTTCACAGGTGACGGATGGACTCATTTTATCGACCAGAAATTCTCGATGTGGTGTTTTTAAGCTTGAAGATCTGGAATGGTTGACACGGGCTACTTCCACTTCCACCTTAGGATTGAGGATCTGACAAGTTGGAAGCGGGTTCAACTGTTTTAGCAAAACGAGTACTTCAATGTATAGCCATAAGCTGCTGGTGTAGGTCACTTCTAACCACCGGTGACATGGGGTTAGTGTACTGGAAATTATAAAAATCTGTCAAGGGAAAAGACAAGGGTCGGTTGGGCTAACTTGTCGATCCCTTTGGGAGTGAAACAGATAAAGCATCGTTGAGGTAGTGTGTGGGCAGGCCACCGCAAATAAGCACACACCATATCGACGGTCCACTGACGTGCAGTGGACTGGCTACGGACCTAACACAATCGTACCCAAAATGATCGCCTGCCCAGAATCAGAGTTGCCCTTATTTGATGCTTTTCGCCTAGGAATAAAAGATAGCGCAACGAATTTAGTGTTTGGTTCTAACATTTCGCCGTATCATATACCTACCTAACTAACGTGTGATTCGTCTGTTAAAGGACAGTTCGTATCCAAAAACATAACTGGGTTCAATATTCAAAAGAATTTCGCTCGGAAGAAGTTCATCATTCGGCTGGCACGGACAAGTCTAGTCAGGAAGTCAGAATATGTGGTACGGTTAACCGAAAGGAGCCAGAAAACACTGCGAAAGGACACTAATAATACCTTTATTGAAGTTACACACGTTACAAGTGTCTTATTTATTTGAAGGGATAAAATATAAGCGGGCTGCCTGCTATTTTCCCCATACGGACAAAATAAGTTGTATGTATTTACTTACCGTCTGGGAACTGAGGATAAGCCGCAGAAAGATGTCTGCAAGAACGGGCTGGGTACCTTTGACTTCCATTGGGCATATGAAGGGATAGCATAGACTCATCTCCAAACATTTTGGAATAACCGACTGCCGGTGGCCCTGGTGGTCCTGGAGGTCCTTCGCTTCCAATCGGACCGGCCAATCCTTGCGGTCCGTCTCTTCCTATTGGACCCGCTGGACCTATAGGTCCCGGTTCTCCCATGAAACCTGCTTCTCCAGGTAGGCCAGGTAGACCAGCAGGGCCCGGTTCACCTGGCAATCCAGATGGACCAGGATAGCCTCGTAAACCTGGTTGCCCGGTCTGTCCTGGATTTCCAGGCTGACCAGGATCCCCAGGAGGTCCTGTCCAACCTTTGTGTCCAGCAGGTCCGGGTTTACCTTGACGGCCAGGGGCTCCATCAATTCCTGGTCGGCCAGCAAACCCTTGAGGTCCATCGTCCCCTCGTTCTCCAGGGGCACCATCGGGCCCCGGTTCTCCAGCATCCCCGCGGCCTCCACTTGGTCCTGTTGGTCCAGGAATTCCCGGTGGTCCACTTGGACCAGGTGGTCCCTTCTCGCCGGCTGGACCTGGCTGTCCTTGCGGGCCTCGCTCACCAATTAAACCTTGTTGACCCGGAGGTCCTGGTTCGCCTGCGGGACCCATGGGGCCAACTTCTCCATCCACCCCGTTTGGTCCTGGCTGTCCAGCTGGTCCAGAAATTCCAGGCGGTCCTTCTTTACCAGCTGGTCCGGGCTTACCTTGAGGACCTGGAATTCCCATTGAACCTGGAGGACCCACAGGGCCTGGACGTCCTGGAGCACCCATTTTGCCCTGAAATTTAAGCAAACAAATTCACTTGAAAAACAGTCGGTAAAAGTAAGCTATTTTGCATTGCTTTGTAGAGAGCATCTTACATGACGCGGAATCTCCTAAATTTATTTACTTATATTTGAAATCAAAAGCATTTTTAGCATTACTCCCAAACACAGGAAATAAGAAAAACGCCATTTTTACTTACATTGGCCAGGTGAATGGCTTACTACAGATGAAAATGATAATCATATTAAGGTGAACTTAGTGGCGTCCACTTTAATAAAATCTAGCGAGGAGGTCTCCAAAAGGCAAAAGCAGAAATATGAATCTTCTATTAGTTACCTGGGCTCCTGGTGAACCATCCGTTCCGGAAGCGCCTCTTGGTCCAACTTGGCCACGTGATCCAACAGGCCCGTCGTCTCCCGGTGGGCCTTTCAATCCGTCGATTCCAGGGGGCCCCACAGGACCTCGAGGACCAGGAGCACCTACAGGACCAACAGCTCCAGGCGAACCAACGGTTCCATTGACACCATCCAGACCAGGAAGTCCAGGTTCACCCGGAGCACCTGGAATGCCAGAGGGACCCGGTGGACCCGGGTTACCCCGATCTCCAGGTTTCCCTTCAGGTCCTTGTAAGCCAGCCGCCCCACGTGGACCGGGCTTTCCGGCTTTTCCTGGACGTCCGGGTCGTCCATCCATACCATCACGTCCTCTTGGTCCTTCAAGGCCAACTGGACCATCTTCTCCGGGTGTACCAGTGTCTCCCGCCTCACCCGGGTCACCAGGCGGACCTTGAGGGGACAAAGCATGAGGGGTTTACGTATTTTAATTAATCCTCAACTAGTTGGAAAACAGTCAGTTACCACGTTCAAATCAGTTCACGTTCACCCCAATACACTGGAAATCTTGTATCCAATTTGTCAAGGAAGAGAGAAAACAAACGTCGCGATATCTCAACGGTTACCTTATTAATTTAATTCGTGGGCTTAAAAAACAGGATCATATAGAGAAACGGAGAACAACAGTTGAACCCTGGACATTTAATGACCGTGAAATTGATCAAGGGATTAGTGCGATGGCAAACACATCGTCTGAGTCAACGCTCAATGCATTCATTGTTCCAACTGATAAGTCTTAATTAATGTGATTTCAGCAACTTCTGTCTCAACTTTTGCAACAAAACATGGAAGCAATTTGAGTTTAATAGCCATTTTACACTTGTCATTTTCAGCCTTGCTGTACGTCCCTGCATTTTTAACTTTTACGAATGAAGACTTTTATAAACTGGTTCGTTTCTACTCTGTTTCCAGTCTTAGGTGTAATATGCGGCGTTTTTGTGGTCTTCTGGATTGGTCGAACAGGTTGAGTCGTTTGGCTTCTTCCAAACGACACAACTTCTAACCGATCCAGTCACTTGTGAGGTGCGCTAGGTTTATCGATCCACAAGTATGGGATGATGAAATCAGCCAGATTCCATCCTCTAAGGTGTGCCGTTCAACTTCTTCGCAAATTACGAGTTGGCTTTCAATACTTACCTGAAGCATTGGGAGAGGTTTGAATCAGATCTAGTCTTCAGCATTCACATCCGAAATTAATGTTACTTTGTTAGCATAACTGGTTATTGGTGGTCGAATCGAAGTAAAGTCACAACAACCCACTGATGACGTCACCTCTGCTGGTGAAGAAGCGCTTAAATAAAATGGCCAGGCTTGCTGAATGGTGAGACTGCTGACTAGAGGAAGTGAACTTGAAATTTTCACTATTTTATGATGGCTTACAACAATGTTACATGTTTCACAAAGTGCTTCTCCGCAGTAAATTTATCGAGCAAGCGTAACAAAGTACCATGGTTACCCGAACCATTTATTAACTTAATCCTACGCTATCTGTACTAACTACAGCAACATATTCACTTTAGGACTTTTCTTAAAAAATGCAAGTCCAAAGTATGCCAATAGCCAGCGTATATTCATACACTGGGCCTGGATTATCCCTTACAAAGTCATGTTCTATCAAACAAGTGGTCACTAGAAGTTTTGCAGTTTTGTAAGAAAAGTTACTAACATCATGATTTATTGTGCCGAGCATTCTTTTGAGAAAAGGGATTAATTATAACCACCACTTGAATGAGGATTGACCATAGGTTCTGTAACGTCCGGCTGAGTCGCCAGTTCGTTCCAGCTGAGTGCTGTCCCCGCTCCAGTGCCTAATGTCGGAAAAAGATTCACCGATGAGGAACTCAACAGCTTTATTGCGAACAATCGAGTGTGAGAGCGTGCGTGTGAGAGCGTGCGTGCGAGAGCGTACGTGCGAGAGCGTACGTGCGAGAGCGTACGTGCGAGGCCTCAAGCTTTTTATTGGACGGATGTTGTCTGACCTTGGTCCAGCGCTGTCTAGCTTCGAAACGAGACTGTCGGGCGCTGCATATTGAGGGGGCGTTGTCCGCCTGGTCAGCATCTGGTGGGCTTGAGCGTCGCGACAGACTTCGGGCATCCAGTGGTTACTTTCAGGAATCTGACCTTCCCGATAAGTTCATATCGAAATGTTTCAAACAAGCCCATAGGTGGAGGGTCCCATCCCATCAGCAATATATATATATATATATATATGGCAATAGAGATATGTATTATGTGAGGTT